GCCTGCCGTCCTCCATCGCCCGCTGTCCGCCACCAACCAATGCCGGCTGCCTCTTGCCGCCAGCTGCCGTCCTTCGCCACTTGGGATGGAGAAATAGATGCTTTCATTCTATGATTTTGTTAGCCCCACCGACCATGTACTAATTTGATTCAAAGTATCCTAGCGTTTTCACTTTAAAGCCTTGGAAATGAAGCTAGCATTTTAATTGGAAAGTCGCATAAAAAAAAGATTGATCAAAGCATTGTTAATCAAATGACTCGTGAAAACTTCAACCCGCGTGCTTAGCACGCGTGTTCACTGATTGTCATGAAATTATAAGTGTCACGTTGGTAAGAAAAGATAATATCCTTCTATGATGTTTAAATGATTGAATAATTAAAAGAATCTAAACAACAATGTTCAATTTATTTCATGGAAAATTTAACATTTTCAGAAGGTGTTTAAAGTAATTTTTCAGGATAATGACAATATTTTATGGTATTTGATTGAAATCTAAAAATGAATTGGAAACTATTTTCCATCATATGAAAAGGAAAATTTACTTTCATTTTCTTAAAGCATGCACTATTCGTGTGGTATAAAGGTTACATATGGTTGTGTATTAAATTATTTGTGTATATTTCTTAATGAAAGTCATTATAATTTTTAATTTATCTAACCAAGTCCTGGAACTTGCATTAAATTTTTCAACTAAATCCGTCTTATTCTAAATCCCTTTAAATAAGCTGACGTGTTGGTTAGAACCAACAAGAGTTTAAGGCCCCGTTTGGTTTAGTGTTACCAAGGGGCTTTCAGCAAATGCTGAACCGTTTGGCGAGCATTCCCAATGCTGAAATCAATTTTTTTGCCCCCAAACTGCCCTCACTTATTCTTTAATATTCCGATTTTGCCCCTCGTTGTTACTATTGATCTTTTTGCGTGAGGGCAGCCGGTGAGGGCCGACAACACTGGATCGGGCCGGCGAGGTGGGCCGTGCGACCCAGGGACAGCACTTGGGTCGCACGACTCTCACTAAGGGTCGCCCGACCTCAGGCGACGGCTGCCAATGCCAGATCTAGCTTGCCGGCAGCGGTAACCCTTCACCTGCTCCGACGAACGGTAGGGTAAGCTTTTTTTTAATAAAAAAGAAAATTCCCAAATTCCTTTGCAAAAAAAATTGCCAAAGTAGCTTTACAAAGGATTTTTGACGAAACGCCATTTACATTTCCTAAAAGAGCTTTAACCTAAAGGTATTTGCATTCCCCCAAGGCACATTTACAAAGTTGAACCAAACGGACCCTTAATGGGGGACAATTAAGGGCAGTAGTAATGTTGAGAAATCTCATTGCTCAAAAGTTGGTCTCTAGTTTCAAGTCCAATGCATTAAGCAATAAGCCACGGCATTCAAAAAAAAAATTACACATTAGACTTTTGCTGGCTTCAACTGATATATCAATTACAAGTGTCAAAATTTGGAGCCGGAAGGACTTCGTTGGAAATGTCATAAAATGCAAGTTCAATGACTTGATTAGAAAAATTAAAAGTTCAATGACTTGACATGGAATTCTTGTTGGGTTTGGTTTTTATATAGTAAATATTAAGTCAATTTGTCACCTAGAAAATCCATAAGCTTATGGGTGGAGCCATATTTGGGTCAAATCGGGTTTAATATTGGGATGACATTCTTCGGATTATGGATTTTTTTGGTAATGAGATGATTTCATTGCCACCAAATCAAAAAATACGAACTCTCTACTAACTACAAGTTCATAAAGATAGCTGCTCTATATAAATTTGAGACATAATGCGATCTTATAATGTCTTGAAGAGAGTAAATAACAAGAATTTGATGCAGCTCGTTAATCTCTAACTTGGCCAATCGATCAGCACACTCAATCGCTTCTCATGAACACATGCGAGATCCTACATTAGGACAATGCATTCATCAACTAGCATTTATAAGTTTCAATCGATACTCGGGTATAGTTGCCTGGGTCCCGAGCTTAGGGACCTTGGCTTGGGCGCCGAGGATTAGGCCTCGGCCTTGGGGGACTTAGGCTCGGCCGTTGGGATCTTCATGCCCTAGTGATGGAGATGAGATTTCTTGGGTCAATTGTGAGGTTCTCGAGCTTAACCTTGGTAAACTCGGGCTTGAGCTCCAATGGCTTGGGCATGGGAGTTCGGTACCAGACCACAGTCAACGGGGGGGGGAAAATTGTCCAAAAAGTCCCAAACTTATTGCACTTTTATCAATTCAGTCCTAAACCTTTTAATTTGCTAATTGAGTCTTAAACCTTTTCCCTTCTTGCCATTTGAGTCCATTCGGTCAATTTTGGCCGCCCGGAGCTGACATAAATGCTAGTCGTTTGGCCAACGCTGACGTGAATATTTTTTCAAAATTTCAATATTTTAATAATTTTTTTTTGATTTTTTTCCTTTTTTTTTGGCATTCTTCTCTCTGGCTAGTTGCTCCATTCGGCCAATTTTGGTCGCCGGAGTTGATGTGGAAATTTTTTTAATATTTTAATAATATTTTTGATTTTTTTTCCTTTTTTTTTCCTAGCCTTCTTCTCTCTAGCCGATATGGCAACAGGCGAGGGCCAGCGAGGTCGGCCTCGCCGGCCTTTAGTGAAGCTCGCCCCCGTCGACCACTGGCGAGGGCGAGGTCAAACCTTGCCTAGCCAAGGCGAGGCCGATCTCGTCGTTGAGGGAAGAAGGCAAGACAAAAAAAAAAGAAAAAGAAAAAAAGGAAAAAAAATTTAAAAATTTAAAAATTGAATTTTTTGTAAATATTTAAAATTTGCCACATCAGTGTTGGCCGGACAGCCGGCACTGGCCAGCGTCCATATTAGCTTCGGGCGGACAAAATTGGTTGGATGGACTCAATTGGCAAGAAGTGAAAATTTTTAAGATTCAATTGGCAAACTTGAAAAGTTTAGAACTGAATTGAAGGTTTATGTCTTTTTGGAAAAATTTTCCCTAACGGGGACATGAGTAGGGCACTAGGTTCTGGCCAAACTTCGAGGGATAGGAGCCAGCCTCTGTGGAATCGGGCCCGACCATCGAGGACCGCGGCACAGTCGTTGAGTCCTCGTGCTCAAGTGTTAGGGTTTAATCGTATTTTCACAAATGATTTTGATTTTCGAAAAAAAGATAATTGTTTTTCTGAATTTAAACATAGGCTTTCCATCAACTATGAAAATATTCTCCGTTGAATAATTTTTCTAAACGATCCAAACATCGGAAAATTTTGACAATAAATATTCCACGAATCAATGAACCCTAAAGAAAAGAATGATCACCAACTTTTCTCTAATTAACTTATCAACTAATTTTGCATCAGCAACTCCTATTTAAGTTAGTTATCAACGTTTATTTGGTTTTTTATTTTTAAATTACCAACTTCTCTTATATCTCCTCTCATCGTTTATCAACTTTTATTGACCTTTCTTAGCAACATCTTAAATTTGTCAATTATTATGAAACGACCGACTTTTTTATATGTGACTTATCAACTTTTCTCCAATTAAGTTATTAAGTTGATTTGGGTTATCAACTCTCATTTGACTTGCTTATCGACGTTTATTTGTTTTTGTTTTAATTTACCAACTTTCTATTGAGTTACTGCTCTCACATGCCTTACTTGCCAACTCTTTTACAATTAAATTACCAACTAACTTTCCGTTACAATATCTAATTTTAGTTAGTTACCAATGTATATATAAATTATCAACTTCTCCTATGTCTAATATATAAAACAATTCGACAGGCTTATGTCAAACATCTGGATGTTTTGATTAGTCTACTTGACTTTACATTCGAACATTTTATTGTGTTTGCGCATGCTACTAATAATTAGAAAAATAATTGAAAAAGACTTGTATTGCGCGTGACATTATTAGGTATCATGTAAAGGATTACTAATCAAAGCAAATAAAAATTGGTAACTCAAAATAAACAAAATGATAAATTAAAAAAAATTAAACATCGGTAAGTAATTCAAATGAGAGTCGATAACCCAAAATTAGTTGGTAATTTAATATGTCAAGATTTGATAAATCACTTTAACAATTTTGAATGGTAATTTCATATAAGAATTAGTACATTCGAAGCATTGATAAGTTATGCAAATAAAAGTTCGCAATTTAGTACTAGTGTTGCTAATTTACAAACTATCAAAAAAAGTGGTAATCTCATAAATGTTTCCGTAAATTACTTGGAAAAAAGTTTTCGGTTGTTTTCTACCAATGGAGTTTTCACACTTATGAATACTTGTTGAAAGTTATCAGGACGTGATAAATTCGTATTTTTTTGGGGATAGAACAACAGAGCGCTGGTAAAACTCAAATCTGTTTTGTGCCCAACATGACAACTTTAAACTACATATTTATACACTTATTAAAAAAAAATCGTCCTTCTCAAATTCACTGCTACCGGGTTTGCTCTTGTCTCGATGAGCCTTGGACATGCATTGATGCATGCGAGGAAGATGAATGGAGATGTTAGCTAAAAAACCTGGAATCTGACAGCTATACTTGTTGAGGGTCGACGAAGGCATGAACGTATGAAGGCAATTATATGGATACGGTGGTGTGTTTGGAGAGGAGATATATAGAGGGAAGAAGACGATCGTACTGGTGCGTTTCAATGGCAGAGTGTACTACTAGATGAAGCTCTCTCTGGTTCAGTTGTACTGCAAAACTAGATAACATTGTTTATTAGTTGGAGGTACAGCGCTTGTTGCCTGTTGGCACGTAAACGCATTCTATATTCATATGTTAGTTCCCCCCTCAAGTAATGGGTGTCATGGAGAGCTGGATGTTTCATTTTTCATGAATCTCTCTCGACTGCATTCTCCTAATGATAATCTGTTCTTTTTTATGAATATCGTTTTTCTTTCACGATCCATTGACTTTGCCATGTTTAGAGAATTGTTTAGCTTGTGGAATCCTCCTTTGGAATGATGACATATAAGAGGTAACCCTCCTCTCCTCTCTCTCTCTCTCTCTCTCTCTCTCTCTCTCTCTCTCTCTCTCTCTCTCTCTCTCTCTCTCTCTCTCTAATGGTGTTGCAGTATAGAACTCGTACTTTCTCTTCTGGAAACTCTTCTTTAGCATATGCCATAGAACTCTCTCTCTGCGTCTCTCTGTCTCAGTGTGAATGGGTAGGCAAATGTTTGCGATCGCTTAGCATAGGTTAATCTGCATATTAGCCTTCTCGTCACTGTGGATTCGTGACCACATGTTATTCTTTTATCTTTTTGGTAATATCTTCATTATTCAAGAAAGATGCCTCAAATCTAGGGTTTCCTGTTCTCGCATTCTTCTCTATTATTATAATAATAACGATAACACTTACTGTTATTACTATTATTATTTATCTTCACACAATTGTGGCTCTAGCTAGGGCTCGCATTCATTTCTTGACCTTGGAGACTGGATCGCATTATGGTCCCCCCCCCACGGCTCTTGTACTGCACTAATCTTCAGTGATGTTCATTGGAGAATCTGAAAGTAGTATACTATGGCTTCAATTCAACCCAGAACCGTTCTTCTAATTTCCTTCTCAGAGATTTCATCTACTGAGTTATCTCTCTCTAGCTAGCTGCAGACCAGCTGCATATATGTCTCTTCCTCCACCTCCTGAAGACCCCAACAACCTTAATCCTATCGAATCTGGAACCTACCCTAATCTTTCCCAAGAATCACTTGATGATTTATGGCAACTAATTCTACAAGAAAGCACAACCAGCAACAATGAGGGTCCCAGTGCAAGCATCTCTCTCGATCAGCAAGACCTATATTTATCACAAACCAATCGAGATCCGAGCTTTCCCGAGAGTGACAATTTATCGAACCCACCACAGATTCCCGGTGGCACATTGCAGAAGATTGCAATCCCCCGAGAATGCAGCACATCATCGTCTTCAGTAGCTGCTGTTATAGAAAGGGACAATGACATGAACAACGAGTTAATACTTGAGTTGGCCAAGTCAAGAGAATTAGGATTGGCCAGAAGCGGCAAATCAGTGATGAGCTGCGAGACTGAAATGGCGACGGAGATGACCATAGAGAAGAAGAAGGAAGACCACAATGCCAAGGAGAGAGTGAGGAGGATGAATCTCAATGCCTGCTACTTGACACTAGCTGATTTGCTCCCTCATTCTCCTTCATCCAAGGTTTCCGTCTCCACCTACTCCCCCTTACTCTAATTATTCTCTCTCGCTTTTTTTCTTCCTGCCTCCTAGTGTAGCACCAATTGACCCGTCTCCATCACTCCAGGATCAAGATTGAAGGAGCAGCCATTGAGGCAAATCTTCACAGTTAACATATTCTCTTGAGCGTGAATCAAGCTAAAAAAAGTGAGAAAAACATCAAATCTTCATGATGCATAAATATGAAAAGTGAGATTTAATGTAGGTCGGATCGTTAACTACTTGAATTATCAATTAGCTAGGTAATATGTTGCTTCCCCAGATATTGCATATATCCGCCGGCTTCATCAACGGAGGTGGTCATGTTTATTCATTTGTGAAACTTATGTGTGTCAACTATTTGTACTCTTACATGTGTGAGCAATTTTTGAAAGAATGTTCTTGCATCGAGAAATTTTTTCAGCGCCCTTGCAGTTCACCATGACTATTTATTTTACAATCTTACAATGAATTAACAATGCTTACATAAAAATGCAGAAGAGATAGGGTGCACCGGCTATAATTGATGGGGTACTTGAGTACATTCCAGAGATCAAGAATGAAATCGAGGAGCTAACCCTCCAGAAGGAAAGCATGTTATTTGTGATGGATCAAAACAAGCAATTAGTTATCGACGATAGCTCTCACACATCATCGGAAAGTAACGAAGGTCGTCCGACTATTTCAGTGCATGAAATTGCTAAAGGTGAACTCGTCCTTCAGATTTGTATGAAGAGGGACCAAGGAAAGCTTTCCAATCTTCTGTGGAATTTAGAAGCTGAAGGCATTAGCATTTTGAATGCCTCCACTGTTGAAGTTCCGCATGATCGAGTCTGCTTCCATTTACACATCCAGGTATATGCTATCTGGATAATGTTTTTATCTATTTGCTTTTCTCTTTGAGGTTCATTACGTATTCTAGGGCTAATTTCTTTCACCACCATATGCATATTTTCTTTCAGCGGTTTAAAGTTTGAATTCAGTAGCAAAAGAAAATTTTAGTTAAGAGTACTACTGCGTCATCACTTTTGGTCTAACAATATAGATATGCACACACATAAACGGGGGAAGAACAGCATTGGTGCCAAAACTTGTGTACGGAGGCCACTTTGGTGCCAAAACTTTCATTTGGATCACTTAAGTGCCAAAAGTTTACGCCGGCGATCACTTAAGTGCCAAATCGGAGAAAAAACGATCACTTAAGTGCCAACGGCGAGAAATTCCGATCAAATTTAATACGTGGCTTTTATATTTAAATTTTAATGACACATGGCATTTCCATGTGTATAATTCAATTTTTTAAATATTTTTTTCTGATTTTCTTCTTTCTTTTCTTTTTTTTTTCTTTTCTTTCTTTTTATTTCCGATGGCCGGCGTCCGGCCACCGGCCATGGCCGGCCTCGCGGCATCGCCTTCCTCCGGGCGAGGCCCGGGCGAGGGGCCGTGGCCTCGGCGAGGGCCGGCCTCGCCGGATCCGGCGAGGCGAGCCCTCGCGGGGCTCGCCCCGCCTAGGCGAGGGTCGAGGTCGCCCGGGTAGGGTGAGCTCCCGGCGAGGGCTCGCTCGCCGGCGAGGCAGCCGTGGCCTCGGCGAGGGCCGGCTCGCCGGATCTCGGCGAGGCGAGCCTCGCCGGGCTCGCCCGCCTAGGCGACCTCGACCCTCGCCTGGGCAGGGCGAGCCCCGGCGAGGGCTCGCCTCGCCAGATCCGGCGAGGCCGGCCATGGCCGGTGGCCGGACGCCGGCCATCGGAAATAAGAAGAAAGAAAAGAAAAAAAAAGAAAAGAAAGGAAAAAAGAAAGAAAAGGAAAAAAAAAAAGAAAAGAAATGCCACATCAGCCTCCGGCGAGCTACATCGGCCTCCGGCGAGCCACATCAGCTTGAGAAATTAATAAAAAAATGCCACGTCGGATTTCCGGCGAAGTGGCACTTAAGTGATCGTTTTTCACAACTTTTAGCACTTAAGTGATCCGATTGAAAGTTTTGGCACCAAAGTGGCCTCCGTACACAAGTTTTGGCACCAATGCTGTTCTTCCCCCCACATAAACTATTATTTAGTACGAAAATACAAATGCTATAACCCTAAGCACCGGACTCTACTGGATTTTTCTTTCTGGACGATACATATCAGTATATCAAGTCAAAGCAGCCATCATACTTGCACTTAATTATCCTTTTTAGTCTATATTCTCAAATGTGTATATTCATAAAAATTGACCGTTAGTTCCTAGAAAAATTTCCATTGTTATGATTTTTTCCGTACAGATGAATGCGAGTTCATATGAATCTGATTATATCCCAATGTTCAAAGACAAGATAACTTTCTGGTTACTTTGTGATTCTTGATTTGGGTCTATGCCATTGCGGTGCCGAATGATGGGGGCACTGATCTTCAGACTGACCGCGCTTGGAACATCATAAATCTTATCCTCTCCACTGGAAGTTTTTTTTTTGGTGTAAAATGTAAGTATTATAAAGCAAATGAAGAACAGCAGCTTAGAGGCATTCCTCAGCATTACAATAGAGCTAATAGTTCAAAAAGATGGAGGTAGGAAGCCTTCATATAGTAGCCAAAGCAACATTTGTCTGGGAAGGTCTAATTTTTTGGAAGAATGAAGTTCTACCTCTTACATTTTTACGCACGTTTGCTAGAATAATATGGATGTCAGATGACTTATTTTGAAATCGCCTATGGTTGCGCTCTATCCAAATGCCATATATGGTTGCTAAAAAGGATACCTTGAGGAGTTTTGTCGCCAAGTCTTTGCCTTTTATTGCCCTAATCATCCATTGAAGTTCCTCATTCCATCCTCTTAGAGGACGTCTAATCCCATGTTGTGCAAGGATACTGCGCCAAATGATGCCTGTCCACTCACATTGGAAGAATAAATGTGTTCTGTCTTCTATACAGACCCTGCAGAAGTTACATTTGATATCAGCTAAAGTCATCCATTGGCCGATAATCTCTGCTGTCGGTAGTCTATTTCTGCAAACTAGCCAACCAATAAAATTGGGTTTGTTTATTCCACTAGTCCAAATCAGGTTATACCACTCCACAGCTGGTCCCACATGTCTGAGTTCATCATAAATTTCTCGGCAACAGTACTCTGGGTTATGGATAACTGAAGTTAGAAGAGGTAGCAATTTTAGGAGACATTGCCAACTCCAAGCCATACTGCCCTTAATATTGATCTGCATAATTGGAGTGCCTCTGCATTTGGTATTGTGAACCCATATACTCCAAAGGGAAGAGGATGGCCGATTGATGAGATTTCATAGCATGCGGCCTAATAATATTTTGTTTCATAAGTTCAAATCAAGCAATCCTAATCCTCCTTCCATTTGAGGTGAGCAAACTACTTGCCATGTCACCTTGTGCGATCCATGATTTACTGTATTACTTGCCCACAAAAATTGACGGATTCTCTTCTCAATCTCGTATATGGTGTGCTTTGGAAGTAAGAACATTGGCATCCAATAGGTACTGATGGAGATGAGGACTACTTTTGCTAACTGAAGACTCCCTGCATAACTCATATGCTTCATGCCCCAACTTTCAAATTTCTTAAAGATCTTGTCAGTAAAACTCTTACAGTCTGTGTGAGTGAGTCTCCCAGTAACAAGGGGAACACCTAGGTATCTGATAGGGAGGGTACCTGTGGAAAAAGGCGTGTGGTCCAATATAAGAAGCTTCTCATCCTCATTTAACCCAGAAAAAAATATTTGGCATTTGTCAAGGTTAAACCGTAGTCCCGGGAAAACTGCAAATTTGTCAAGGGCATTAACAAGGCAAAGGACAGAGTCTACGTCTCCATGTGCAAATAAGAACAAATCGTCAGCAAAGCATGTTCGTAAAATTCTGCACGTGTCAACGAATGTGTTGAACAAGTAATATAATGATGAGAAGAGTATCGTCCCACAGAGATTGATGATAATAAACCAATTAAATATTAAAAATGGACTAATTCTAAAATTTATCTAACTGATCAAAATATAATTGAGAAGACAATTTTTAAAAACGAAATTTTATAAACTAAAGGCAGATAATCAATCAGGTAAAATATGTTAGAGCATCCGATTTCACCATAACCACTAGATATGAATTTCGGATCATTATGCATACAAGAACAATATCAAACATGTGATAGCGGAATTTCCTAGTCTATTTACTATCCTATCTCTAAGTATAGCAAACCTACTCAGTTTATCAATTCACTATATTTCTATGTGAATTTAAATAAACATAAGCGCATTAAAATCTGTGAATATTCCCGGTTTACAATGAATCTTTTGGACCACCTTATCACCGAAAGCTACACAAATAACATGGTATATTTCTATCCACATTTAATGTACAGTTATATATTATAAGGAGCAATTGCATATTATTACTTCTCAGTCTCAAACATGCACATCGGATCATTCAAGTGGTGGCCAATCACCTAAACGCATTAAGCACAATAATATATAACTCACATGAATGAAATTACTTGCAAAGCATAAAAAGCATGAAATTCATATCATCATGGTTAGGCTACATCGTAGCTCTTATAAAGAAAATTAGAACATAATAGAAGAAAAAACGAAAATATAAATTAAACCAAACATCTTGAATCAAAGAACAAGAATTCTGTCACCACTTTTGTCTTCTCTTCAAAATACTTGAAAAACTCTCAGAACACTGAAAACAAAAACGATCTAAAAAAACTCCATGTTCCCCCAAGTTATCATATTTATATGATAACATCCAAGACTCCTTTCACAAGGCAATTGCTTCTTTTTCGTATAAAATTAGGGAATAAATCGCAGAATTCCCAATGTGATATCCACCTTCTAACTCTTCTCTGGGTTGCATAGTCCTTTCCTTCTTTTTGCCATATTTTCCTTATTTTCTCCATATCTCAATATTCTGCATAAACAAGGAAAAATTAAGTAAATAAAAGGAAATCCAAATATATTCTAACAAATATTGCATTATTTATTACCTAGAGTAGATAAAATAACTCTATTTTTATAGAGTTATCAAAGCATAAGTGGGTAATCCGTTGCGTTTTGCAGCGCCAGTGATACTTGAAAGCAGAAGCAGCAACTTTCGCACTAACAATTCTATTAAGAAGTTTCATAACCCGGACGAAGAGGTATGGAGAGAGAGGATCACCTTGTCGTAGCCCATTAGTACTATTAAAATAGCCGATCTGTTCGCCATTGAAGTTCACTGAAAACCTCGGTGTAGTGATGCATTCGGATATTAGATCAACCAAGTACTGAGGTGTGTTTATAGCTTTGAGAACCTCAAGAACCGCATCCCATTTTACCATGTCATAAGCTTTCATGAGATCAATCTTTATTGCTACTCGTTTACCTTTGTCTCCCCTATGGTAGTTGTGCAATAGGTCTTGGCACAATAGGATATTCTCTGAGATTTGTCGCCCGGTGATAAAAACTGTTTGGTTAAGGTCAACAATCGATGGAAGCATGCAACTTATTTGCTCTGCAAGTAGCTTAGATATGGTCTTGTATAAAACAATGCAACATGAGATGGGTCTGAACTCCTTGAGGTAGGACGGGTTTGGGACCTTCGGCACAAGGGAAATCAATGTGAAATTTATAGATTTCAACATTTTTTTTTAGGAGAAGAAGTCCATGACAGCTTCTTCAATGTCCTGGCCTATGATGGGCCAAGCGCAATTGTAGAATAGACTGTTAAAACCGTCTGGACTCGGAGCTTTGAAGTTGTTGAAACCCTTTAAGACTCTAAGGATATCTTATCTTTGAAGTGCAGGTAAGGTAACAAGAGCATTGACATCTTCATGGAATAAAGAAGTATACCTCTCATATGGAATATTTGTACGCCTGGAGTTACCAAGAAGGAGCTGATAATATGATATAATTGAATTCTTAAGAGTACCTTCTTCGGTAATAATAGAGCCATCCTCGAGTTTGAGATGAATGATCCTTTTCTGGGCACTCCTTCGCATCATGGAGGCAAAGAAGATCTTACTATTGTTGTCACTCTCCTTGAGCCATAGATTTCTAGATTTCTGTTTAAGCAAAACTTCTTCATATTTACTAAGAGCAAGTAACTCCTCCAGTTGTGCTTTTTCAGCATCCCAAGTAATGGAATTATAAGGATCAAACACAAGCTTCTGTCAAAGTAAATGTACGCTCTCCTTAGCCTACTTTACCTTTAAGTGTAAATCTCCAAACTGAGATCTATTCAAACTCTTGAGTTTTCGTTTTAATGTCTTGAGCTTCTCCACCACAGTGAACATTCTTGATCCTCGAACTTCCTATTGCCAGCAAGTGGAGACCATAAGCAAATCAGGGCTAGCAGTCCAGAAATTAACAAATTTGAAAGAAGATTTCCTCCTCCTATATGTGGTGTCAAGTCGCACCAAACATGGAGAGTGATTGGAAACTTCTGGAAGCAAGAATTGAATTGAATAGTAGTTATACTTATCCTGCATTAATCAAGACTCTCACAATTCTGCTTGCTTTAAGATTAACTCCTGAGCTTTTGTTTGTCCATGTGAAGAAAGGACCCATGGATAGAGATTCAATCAGTGCAAGTTCCTCAACTATGGTGTTTAGTTCCTCCATACCTGAAGTCCAACGCACGATGGAGCCAATCCTTTCATTTGTGTCCCTTGTTTCATTAAAATCCCCTATTAACAACCAGGGCCAGTTTCTGGTATGTCTTGTAGAAAAAGTTGAAATGTTGCGCCATAGAAACCCTCGTTCAACTTTAGTGTTGTATCCATAGTTGGCAGACAGCAAAAAAGGGTCCACCCCGGTTTTTCAATGAGACAATGTATGACCTGAGCAGAAACCTCCAACACAGTTAGATTAAGAATGGAAGGCTTCCATAAGATCGATATTCTTCCCAGGCTACTGCACATGTAGTTATGCATATAATATCAGCCTCGGAAACTACCATCAACAACAAAATCAACACTCTTCTTTTATTTTGTGGTCAATCAAAACGAGAATTTGGGGATCATGGGACAGAGCAAATTCCACTAGTTCCCTTCTTTTGGGGCTGCGATTAAGGTCCCTCGCGTTCCAAGAGACAATATTCATAAATCAGGAGGCTCCGTTGCATCCCCAAGACCCCCGGTGTGTCCAAGGGACAATCCGAAGCATCCACCACTTCCAAAAGAGCAAAACTACTAACTGAAGACACTAAGTTGTGGTCACCTTTGTATTTTCTGTTTGACCCTATTTCCTTGCTTCCAACTTGTGTAAATTGTGAGGAAGATGGATCGAACAACATAGAAGTAGAGGCAATTGACTGGGTAATTGAGGAGTTGAAATTGCTCTTCGGAATGAGAGGTGGCCTAGATAGGCCAGAAGTTACTTGTGCAACATTTTGATTTACTATCGGCTCCCGATGGCCTAAGACCGAGTTAGGAGGGCCTTCAGTTTTTTAGTTCTTAAAGACCCATATTTCTTTGCTTTTACTAGCACAATCTTTGTGGCCAAAGCAGTTACATTTCTGGAATCTCAAAGGCACCTAGTTATATTGCATCAACGCCTAAAAAATTTCACCATTACCCAAGTCAATATCGAATTTTTCAAGGAATGTGCTATCTATGTCTATGAGGATACATGCCTTCGCATAGGATAGTCGCCTTTTTTGTTCAGTGGCCGAGTCCAAGTATAGAGGTCTTCCAAGAACACTACAAACGTAACTTAAACCTGTTTTGGTCCATAGAACATGAGGTACATTTTAAAGACGTACCCAAACAGGCACAGAAGTGATCATTGCTCTCTCTAATCTAATAAGAGGATGCCATTTTTGTAGGAACATAGGTTTTCCTGCAATGTCCCACACCCCCACCTCCATAACTTCCACCATTTTCGCTACGTTTGAGAAGCGAAAAAAAGAAGAAGCAATCTTCCGTGGCAGAAATATCTATAAAGTTCTCTTTGCCCCACAGTTTTTCAATAACTCTTCTTACTAAATAAAAGGATGCATTGGGGGCGAGAAAGTAACCAACAAGGCAGTTTTGGAAATGTGACATGCCCTCGGCTAACACCTCGGGTAGAGGAACTGCTATAAGCTTTTCTCCATTCTTGATAGGGGGATGAAATTCTAGCTTAGCAGACTGGGCAAGATTGCGCATGGTAATATTTTTCCAAGACACACCTAACGGGGCAACAGAGTAATCTTTTTGATAAGGGGTAGGGGCAAGGTCTCTTGTTGTTTCAGGTTTGCTAGCCCCCACGCCAACATCAGTACTTTTCTCATCCCCAAATTCAGTGTCAACATCACAAATATGTTCAGCCATAGCTTCATCCTCACAATTACGAAGATCGACAAAAACTGGTAAGTCAGTATTATTGACTGTTTGAGGTCCTGCTATTTTCCTCCTTTTTCGAACTGAAGAGGCTATTCTTTATTTCTGTAGAAAGTGTATCAAGTTCTCGTGAGGTCGGAGATGAGGATTTCCGAACATTTCCTTTTTTTTCCTTTTCCATGATGCATTCGAACCATCATTTTCGAAACTTTTACTAGCGAGATGGGACACTGTCTACGGCTAGAGGGGGTAGGGTTGATGCGCTGAAGAACCTGGACCATCAGCTACAGAAATCCAATCAGTGACCCTGACCACGGCCCACAACCTAGCAACCCCGTTACTCCAAACAACAAAAGCAGCGATTTGGCCAGAGAGCGATAGCTGGCGGGCGACGACTAGTGAAGTCGGGAGTATTGAGGAGCTGGGAGAGCAGCAAGCTGCTAATGGAGAGGAGCCAAGCAAGCTCCATTGGAAGTTTTACCATATCTTTATTCTTTCATATTAATAGGTCAAACATCTAGCAAGATGCGGTAAGTTTCTTCCGTGGAAATATCTTGCAATTTTGCTTTTGATGGGTCCTGAGAATGTTCTGCAGTTGAGGTGATGGCTAGAGAATTAGATCATCATAGACAGAAGAGACTGACTGAGCAACATAATTAATGTATGAATTTGAAAATGGATTTTTGTTAATGACTGGGGGCACTTGTTAAACACTAGGGTTTTAATTTCAATACAGCGCCTCATTCGTGTTATCTGTGATTGACTTATTAAAATCAAAATATTTGCTTATTAAATATACTTAACGAATGTCTCGGAGACACCATTAACATACCATTTTGAAATTTCAATGTATTTTTGACATTTTCACGAGAAAACAAAGTGATTTTCTGATTTAGTCATATTCACTCGATCCCTGATGGATGATGAGTACATGGTATCTTACAATGTTTTATTTCAGGGTTAGCTACACAGGCATTTCTTCAGTCATTTAATGCAAAGCGAAGACAAGTCGGCTTCACAGTTACTTATATCCAATTAGTTATGCTCCTCATATTTAACAACTTGACTGCATAAATTTGATTTGTCTTCACAAATATTTCAAAGCGCATTGTTACTTCCTAATCAAGGTCCCTCGCAGATGACTGACTCACTCTTCCGAATCTAAATCCAGCAATGTGGAGGTTGACAGACATTAGTTCTAGCGGCATCAATTTTTCTGTCTTGCTTAGGGAATAAACCTTCAAATTCATAATGTTCTTTATGCCTGACCAGATTAAAATCGATTGCGTCTCTGTTCATTTGAAGTACTTCAATTGCAAGAAAAGAAAACGACATAAATTTCATTTAGAGTAATCGAAATAGCCGGTCCAATCTCTCTACCGGTTAGCAACCACTACTAGTTAGTGTGCCTTGCTTTGGATACCTTTGACTACCTGCATTATAGAAAGGATATGCGCTTTATGTGTTTTTCAGATTCCATGACTGAATGGACTTTGGATGCCAAAAGTAGGCCATGGCATCAAAGATGGTGTGGGCAGTTTGGACGCTTTCTTGAGGAAACTTGATAGTGATATATGCTTTTGGAGAGAGCCTGTTTGGATTGGCTCGTGACCTTGTTTTTTCTTTTTGTCTTCCTTCGTATCGAATTCATCTGTTATAGTGACGTTTGAAAAGTTTCGGCGTGGAGACTACTGCACCCCTGCAATAATCATTGAGGTATACAGGAAACGTTTCCCCCATAAAAATACAAAGAGAACAGCCAAAAAATTGATCGTCGAAGGACCATGGTGGGCGGAAATGCAAATGCAGAACACGATTTGCTTCCATCAAGCTATGAGAAAACAGACAACAGATACAGAGCCCGGCATACAATCTACCAGCTAATTTGGACACTGGACTAAGCTGGCCTAAAATAATGGAAGACGTCGCCGAACAATGGCATTCTTAACTGTTGCCATTCAAAGGCCGGCATTGCAAGAGTTCTGATCTCCCCATTTCAGTTGAACTACGCAAAAGTTCGAGACTTTGCCTCCTGATAAAACATTTTAAATTCACCTAGCATTTTCATCTGTGAAACAAAGCATCAAGAAAGAACGGTCTTTTGTCAGCAGAACTCTGAAATGAAGAAAATGGAGGCTATTCTGAGACACGATTACTCCAATTGCCATGGGCATTGGCAAAACGCAAGCATCAGGGCTTGCGGCTCATCAATAAAAGGACTATAGATTGCAAATGTTACGCACCAATGCTTTGTTACTTTCGTGGAAACTAGAACAAGATCTTTTTTTGTTTTTGTATAGACAAAAAATGAGATGTTACCTACCTTACCAAAAATAAATTAAAAAATGAGATGTTACCCTGGCCTTGGATAAACTGATAGTAAATTGTAACAAATACCCACCTAGCATACTACCAAGCAGTGACTTCACCTTTCAACTACGTTATTTCCTCTCCTGCGTTTGCAAATGACCAAAACTATTCTATTTTGTATCGACATAGATATGAACAAAGACAATTAAAGGAAGATAGAAAAAAAAAGTAGTAAATATTTCGAGTCCCCTGGATATTCAAATTCCATCGAAATCCTCGGCTCTCTGAGTAAACCTGCGGCATGTACAGCCATTAAAATCACAACTTCGGCAGAGAAGCTACTGGTTTCACAAGTGCAGATAGAATAGCAGCTTTCTATGCAAGACGAAGTAGAACAGCAACAGGTATGCTGTCAAATTTTCTTGCAATTTAAAATGCAACAGAACATCCAATGTCAAATTATCACTTGATTTCTCTTTTAAGTTTCTTCTCCATAAGGTCTCATAGGACATTTTTCTCCAAGTCGTCAACACCAACAAATGGGAAGTGAAGACAAAAACGAGGAGAGCTATATCCCACAATTGATTGTTTCGTTCACTTCCTTCTTGTCTTCTAGCCAACTAAACTTCCTTTCACATGAATGGAAGACCCAAGATCAGATCTCGAGCACCATATACTACTCTAAATTTCCTATACAAGCATATCTTTATTACTAACATTCACTACCTAAAGGAAGAAAAGACACAAGAATAGTGCAATATTCAGATATCAAATTCAGCATCTTCATGTCTTATAGAGTGAATTTGCCTTGCTAATTGTCCAACTTTCAGAGGAGACAGAACGGGAGTACAACTATCAAGTCTGATCCAACAGAGACACTGAAAGCCATATATCTCTCGAAATTAGAACAACATCCTAATTCACAGGTCACGTGAACAGCCCCTTGATAACCAGATATGTGTGGCACACAGTATGCTACTCTTACAAGACTATATACAGAACAGGGACCTTTTTGCATCCAGTACTTTACAAAAACCAACCCATACTTCCTTATAAGGATGCCCAATGAAAAATTACTTATCTATGCACCTTTTAAGCAGTCTAAACATATGGGGTCAATCATTCAACTTTTCTCAACTTCTGTTACCTGAGCATGTCTCCAGCGTTCAATTTGGGCCCACTTAAGGCTGGTGATATGCTGAAAGTGTTGCCATCTTCGTAAAACGATGGGTGTCCCAGGGGAGTTGGCCTGTCTGGGATGGAAGGAACTTCCATATCTCCTTCCAACATTTTCAGTGCATCCAAAATGGTTGGCCTTAGAGCCACCATAACATGAGCACACAGTATCCCAACCAGCACATATCTCTCCATTATGCTTTTTGGGTTGGAATTTGTAGACTCTCCATCTTTCAACAATGAAGCATCAAATGCCTCTTCTATCTTCCCAGCTTTTACCAGAGACCAGACCCAATCTGTTATCAAAAATGCCCGTGGTGACCCTGAAGAAGACAAATCAAGAGCCTTTCTCCCACACATTATTTCCAAAACAACCACTCCAAAACTATAGACATCGCTCTTTTCAGTCAGCTGTCCATAAAGTGCATACTCGGGAGCCAAATAGCCATGAGTTCCGGCCACCCTGGTAGTAAGATGGGATTGTCCTTCTCTGCTTTGCTTTGCTAATCCAAAATCTGCGACTCTTGCCCTCATGTCTGCATCCAGCAAAATGTTTGTTGCTTTAATGTCCCTATGATATATTGCAGGTTTCACCCCATAGTGCAAATAAGCAAGCCCCTTTGCCACATCCAAAATAATGCTTTTCCTTTGAGGCCAGGTCAATGTCTTCTTCCCACTTTGATTATCAGGCGATGTGAAAAGGTGATCATCAAGATTACCATTTGGCATGTAATCGTAGACAAGATATCTCTGGCCACTCATTTCACCATAATCATCATCATCTCCGTCTACCACACAGCATCCCCTGAGTGGCACCAAATTCCTATGCTTCAAATTGCTAATAATCTCGACCTCGTTGCAAAATTCATCATCCCCCTGGAAATCAGATTCGATAATTCTCTTGACGGCAACCTCCGTTCTATCAGATAGAACTCCCTTGAAAACCAATCCAAAACCCCCCCGCCCGATGAAATTCTGCTGTGAGAAGTTGTTGGTTGCTTTCTCAAGATCGCGAATTTTGAACCAAATAGACCCTGTATTAGGTCTTGGTCTTGCCCTAGACCCCGATTCCTCCGGGTCAAGACTAAAATCTGCATTAGATTCCTGAATTCTCCTACTCCTCTTCCACCTCCTATCATACCAAAAGTACAAACCCAGCAAACAAGACATGACTATGACCGCAACACCAGCGCCAGTCAAGCCAAAAACAAGATCGGTGTGCCGTTTACTAGCTGAACTCCCTTGGTTATTGATCGACAATGCCATAACACACGAGAGCACGCCAGTACTCTCTGGCCCGTAAGCATTGACAATACCAGCAGCATACAGAATAGTGAAATAGAAGCAATCTGCAGTATTAGAATTATTACCACCGATGGTTTGCAGCTGGGCTTGGACCTTGAAACCAGCAGCCACGCACTGGTCACAGTAGGTCAAAACAGTGAGGTCGGCTTTGCAGTCCGAATCAAGAGCAGTTGAGTTGCCGAGTTCCCTGACCCAGTCCTGCGCAGTCTTAATGTCAGCGCAGGTGTTGGGCGTGATGACGAACTGCGAAGGGTTGAGGCAGTAGGAAACAAGATTGGTGGGGAGCGAGAGAGAAGTGAGGGTGGATTGGAAGTCTTGGAGGCAAGAAATGGAGGTGTTGAGGTCAGGGAGGTTGAAGAGAGAAGTCTGTCGGAGCCTCTGAGCCAAAGCGACGCCGAAGAGGGACAGGACGTTCTGGCAACAGGTGCTCTTAGAGGTGCCGTTGAGGGAACCGTTGGGGGTGAAGATGGGGGGTTGGCAATTCGAAGTGTTCCAAGGGATTCTGCGCATGTAGCTGAGATCCATGGGGCATGCCGATCCGTTCGTGGCGGCGGCGGAGGCTGCGGCGGCTGCGGAAGTCGGAGAGAGAGCAGAGAGAGAAAGAACTGCCAAGAAGAAGAAGGCGGAGGAGGAGATGATGGAGACGGTAGCGGTCGACCCCGATTCAAGATTCATCTTTGACTTCATGGGTGCGATTCTTTTTTTGCTCTTCCGCTGCAGAAAAGGATTCTGATGAGAGATGGGAGACGGGAGGAGTATCAAAGAAGGTGGTGGTGGTGGTGGTTCAAGAGGGAGATGGAGACGCCATGAACGGAGCTTCAAAAGGCAGACAGAAGGAAGGAGCGCACACCCGTGGCCTGGTCAAAACCATTCTCCTCTCCTCTCCAGAGTTTCGTGGCTGCTGACATGACACAGTTATAACTTTGTCCTTTTGCCGCCATCAGAGGAGAAGGTAACACTGCTGAATATGCTTTAAAATAAAAACTGAAAAGCAGATCTTATAAAGTTTGGTGAGTATATAGCTTCAGACATTAACGTATTCCACCAGCTTCGACCCACCTTCGATATTTTGAGAAAGGCGTCTCGTCTTGAACAGAGTGAACAAAACTGCCACTAGCTTGTGGGTCCCAACAAGTGATTTTTGGTTGACTTCCGGCGGTTTGACTAGGAACAGGGAAAAAAGAAATTTGTGATGAGGGGTTAATCGTTGTGGTCGTCAAGGGTAAGGTTTGGAATACTAGAGTCTGGTCAAGTACGCACGCCGAGGAGATTGAAGTGGGCGACTCGAACGAGGAAGGAGGTCGTAGAATCAATCTATTCAAGAACACTGACCGACATGGTGGTCGTTTCGCATTCTCGGAGTGGGAAAATTAGTCGTGCAATGTGTAGTGGACCAGAAGCATGTATGCAGAAAGCAACACGAAAGTGCTGAGAAAATGACCGAGGCATGGAACCGCAGTAAGCATCCCCAACTAATAAAGCAATATTGCACGGACTATTCCTATTAAGTTCATGCACAAGAGAAAGTAGTTCTTTTTCCGTGACTAATTTCTCGACGTTATTATGAATCTACTAACTATTTCTGACAAATTATGAGTTATCAAAATTTTCTTATCTTTAAAATATTTTTATTTTTCCTTCCTTTTTTTTATTTATCAAAGCTCTAAAATTATCTACTCCTATATAGATTTACTAACCATTATTTGAGTGACTCGCCGACTTTTCTCCGATCAAATAATCAAATAATTTGAATTATCAATTCTCGTTTTTTTTGTCGCTAATTCTCGTTTGAGTTACTTATCAATATTTATTTTATTCTTTTAATTATTGCTTTTCTCTGATCAAGTTACCAACTCTTGTTTAAGCCTGTTACCAATGTTTGTCTGATTTTTTATTTATTTATTTTCAAAACTATCAACTTCTCTTATCTATGATAAAAAAAAAAACTTCTCTTATTTTTTACCAAATCTTGTTCTAGTTATTAAAATACCTCAAATTTACTGACCATTACACAACATCACCAACCTTTTATTTGTGAATTACAAACTTTTCTTCAATTAAATTATCAACTAGTTTTGGGTTCCAATTTAAGTTGCTTATCGACATTTATATGATTTATTTAATTTACCGCTTTTTTTCCTTCCTTATAAACTCTTTTTTGCAATCAAATTACCAATTAATTTTGCATTACTTACTTTTATTTAAGTTAGTTACCAACAATAATTTTTCTTTTAAAATAACCAACTTCTCTTTGAAAAAAAATCTATGATTAATATTAACTTTTACTTAACTTTCTTATCCAAGAATTAGGTCAATGATTTCATCTAAGAGTTAGTAAATCGGAAGGTTTGATAAGTTGTGCCAATAAAAGTTGGCAAATTAGTATAGAAATTGATAATTTGCAAAGTAAAGTTGGATATTTCATAAAAATGTTGATAAGTTACTGAAAATTTTAGTTGAGACATTTTTTCAGCATTGGTTTTTTGACACTTACCAGCACGAAAGAAAATTCCTACTTTTAGACATGGAACAATAGAATTCTGCGCTAATGCATAATGCCATAATTGCAAAAACTCATTGGTTTTATATGGAAAGATGCACATAATGGTCCTCACCACGCTTTCTCAAGAAAACTTACAAATTATATAGAAGAGTTTATGAAAAGATAGTAACAATGATGAAAAATACATTAGTGCAATTGATTGACACATTGATGCCTACTTTTTATAGAAATTGGTCTGTTGAAAAGGTTGGGAGTTACTACTTCTGATGAAAATCTATTGATTCCGTTACCATGAGATTATTTCCCTCGCTTGAAGAAGAAACAATCTATCAATATCATAAACTCATTTCTTAACCCATATTTGATAGATTGAGTCATTATGGGTCAGTTATGTTCAGTAAATGGGATACAAGTGAGTTTAGAATGGCAAAGTCAAAAAAACATTGATATTAAATGGGTTCACAGTTTACGCAAACTCAACTCATATTTATGACTCTCTCTTCATTCTCTATGAGAAAATAATGGACTACTCAAACTATTCCAAGTTCAGAAAAGTCTCGGTAGGCTTGCAAGATAGGCCCAAATTTGCCCTTGTTAAAAATCCAGACGGTTTCTTTTTTCGTCATTATTTATTTTTACTAATCTTATAAGTATATTCTATTAGTTATTTAAGTATATCTTTCATTGATTGCATTTGGCATTGCTCATTTTAAAAAATATTATAATTTTAATTATTATCACTGCAATCCAAGGTCAACATAAATCTTCTTCAATATTCTACATTCCATTTAATTAAAATTTCAAATCCTCCACTTTATTTATTGCTATAATTTTTATAAGTTCACTACCGAATAGTAACTTTCTCTTGTTCTTCATTGCGAATCAATACAAAAATTGAAAATTCATGTTGAAAGCCAATTCTTTTAGCATCTTATGGTTGAAATAACAATTTTATCCGGATAACATATACAGAGCTTAAAGTGGATTAACTAGGTGGATACAGATTTTCATATATTGAATTTAATTTGAAAATATTTTAAAAAATGATTCTGGTCGGGCACAGGTCACTAAATTTATATTGCATATAAACGGGTTAAACGGGTCACTTTAGGTCGGACTGTTTTTTACCCAATCCACCCATTTATCAATAGTCTAAGAAGAACAGCAAATCTACCAAGCGGTGCGATCAACACCCTAAAGAATATAATAAAGTAACGGTGTCAGGCCATCTCTGCCCAATCTACAAAATAGGTGAAAGACGGACTTAGGCAAAATAGCAAACACACCTTTCCACATTAAAGGGATCACCCCGCCTCAGTATTCGCGGGGGCTGGGAGAACAAAACCTCAGAACGACAGCCATCTCATCAACGAAAGTCGTTGACGATGATCCAACATAGAACACTCAAAATTATTAAAAGCAACACAAATAATAAGAATTACACGAGCCAACCCCCAAAAAAATAGTAACAGTTAACCCAAAGAATCGTGAACTAAAAATTAAGAAATTAAAAAGAAAGAAATAACCCTGGCTGAAATTTACCATCAAGTATGGAATATTGAGCGTATTTGAAGGACCTGGAAGATGAGAAAAGATATTCAGCAAGTTTCACGTCGTAAAGAACTAGCAACAAATAGAAAACTATCAAATGCTTGTAATCTTAAAGGTTCAGCAGAACTTCAGTAACACCAAATTTTCCCACATATACCAACTGGAAAGTATATATTACATTAAAAACTCACACAGCAAACGCCTCACTATGATGGCAACCCCAAAAACAAAGCCTCAGTGCCTCACCATGTAACTTCCTAAAAAAGTAAAATTAATTTATGGTACCAGGCAAAAACAAGTCCGGAAGTATTAAGGGCAGGCCTGCTTCATGTGTCGGCATATAAAACATATAGCTACAGCGGAAGGGAACTTTGCATGACAAAAACCATCATACCTGGTTTATGTCAGTCAAATTGACGATTCCCAAGTGCTCCCAGCTTCAAATAGGCAGGCATAATGTACGGTGTGGACTGCGAATTCTCAGTAGCAGAAATTCATAGGTGACTGATACTTCCAACCAATGTTAACTTGCAGTGGACAAGGCAGCCAGGGCATTAGCATGTTGTGGTGACAAGTTGCTGAGAATTGGTTGTATTTGTTGGCCATATAGTTTAATCAGGTGAGAAAAAGCCCTGCCAATTTGGGCTTTGACTTCAGCGGTTTCACTTGGAGACACCGCCACTTCAGCAAACAGTCTAACCAAATCAGGCACTAGAACAAGGACCTGCAAGTAAGAAGAACACAAACCAAAAAAGGACGAATTAAACTTGATCAACCAAGAAGATTATAGACAAGAAGCTGCTTAGAACCTTTCAGGATCGATACTAGAGAACTTGCTATTTACCTGAGGATTTGATGACAAGACCAGAGTACAAACACAACCATAGACGGCCACAGATTCCTCATGATCCTCCTTCAAAGGAAGAACTTTCAAGAAAACAGGGAGGACCTGAAACAAGTTTTACAGCGATAAGCAGATCCGAAAAGAAATCACTCGACAGTACTATTATTTGAGATTGACCAAACCAGGACATTAACCTGTTCTAAGGGGATGGACTCAGGGTGCACCATTATCATCCTTGCTATTGCACCAGCTGCATTGTCCCTCACAGCATCATCAGGCTCTGACTCTCCAAACAATGGGTAGATTGTCCTCAATATATCTCCATAGTATCTATTATTTATATCAGGAAAGCGAAAAAAGCACACGCAGATTATAATAGAGGGTGAAAATCAATGCTGAAAGAGTTATCACTCAACTTTGTCATTATACAAAAATTGTGAGTGTCCTTCAGCATAAGCCAACTGTTCCCAGAAAGTATCTCAATGGCAGGCAACAAGGTGAAGGAAAGAGGAAGCATCATGCGTTGCATCGTAGTTGCCACAGTAGATAAAAAGAAATTATTGCACATATGTTTTGACTTGTAAAGACAGGCCATAAAATGACAAGAAAAAAATCTGAGAGACATAATTGGCTAAAGTAGGGTGCCATCATAGTCCACCGCAGAACATGATAATCCCCACCATTAAAGTAATTGCCAACTAAGAGAGAACTACAATTATTCAAGTTGACTTGTGCAATTGAATCACATGGGAGGTCAGCAGATTGAGATGCACGATTCAAATTAACTTGCAACAGTAACTCAAGCGAATGACTACAACATAAGAAGGAATGAAGGCATCTGAACACTAATTTATGCTGTAATGCATCGATTTCAAATGCCTGCTGGTTAGTAGGACATTTAATTGCGCACAAAGGATACTTCAAAGTTGGTTCACCTCCATTTTTACACAATTCACCCACGCAGAAAGCAGCATTTCTCCTGTTAGTTGCCTCGGAAGATATTAGCTCTTTGAGAACCAAGGGCATTATCCGCTGAAACATGAGAGTTCACATGAAACTTTCAGATTATTTCTTGATTAGTGGAAAATC